CATTTTAAAATCAGGAAATGTCCCATAACTTGGCACCGGAAGCGAATTTCCAAAAAATTTCCCGGATATATAAAATTCATATTACGAAACATCTTTTCTGAAAATTTCACGTCATTCCACCCAGTAGTCTTTGAGAAATCGCGTGCACAAAATTAGAAAGTAAAAAAATAATAAAAAGAATAATAATAATAATAACTAGATACGATCTCGTTGCGAGCAACGAGAGGTCTTCCGTCCGATTCAAGAAAAAAAATCCTTCGTAAAATCGAGCTGAAAAGTGATTCAAAATTTTGGTAACAAAGATGATTGAACCTAGGTCGCCAACGTGAATGCGCTTTGTTTTCTCTTATATCCCCAATTCGCAAACCATTAAGCTATTGGGAGGACTGCTCTAAATATACTTCTGTATACTTTTGGAACAGTACACCTGTCTAAGAATTATAAAAAGCGGGCCACTATTCATAACCTAGCGCCAAACGCCACGAGAATATATTTATGCCTTTTCTTTGGACTGACCTTTTAAATAGGTGAGATAGCTTCAATGAAATTGAAAAATAAAACAACTTCTTATCGCCTTTATTTTATTTCGACATAAAGAAAGTATATTTCACACATTGTAAACAATACATATCTTATCTGGCCCAGTTACACTAAAGCAGTGAATCGGAAATTAAATTTTAAGACTACACTGAATTGCAACGTACTAGTACGTGAAAGTCCAAGTAGTTTTTTACATTTCATGTATCCTTTTGTCAGAATGGTTAAATAAAACGCTCAGCTGCCTCCATAAACCCCTACTCGCGAAATGGCGGAGTTGACAGAGACAGCCGCCATCTTGGTCCCGCTTCAGATTTTCAAATGTTAATATCTAGTGTTCAGACAAACCAATTTTCAAACAACTTATATAATAAGCATATATTGAAGGGTCTCTATTATCATTCCAAAAATAAATAAAAAATATTGAAAAACAAAAAAGTTAGAAAATGCGATTTTTTCAATTCCCTTCTCCTAACGACAGGAAGTACCGACGACGAACAAAGAGTCGCGTCCTGGATGGTATATATCACGATCTATAATCCCTGAAAGTTTCATGTTGATATATTTTACCGTTTTTGAGTTTAATCGCGGACAAAATGTCATTTCAATTTCAGGAAATTGTCCGTAACTTGGCACCGGAAGTGTTTCCAGATTTTCTCTCGGATATAATAAATTCATGTAACAACACATCTGTCCTGAAAATTTCATGTAATTCCATCTTCGATGGTAGTCTTCGAGAAATCGCGTGCACAAAATTAGAAAGTAAAAAAAAATAAGAATAATAAGAAGAAGAAACAATAGAATCACTATAAGGTCTTCCGTGAAGACGGAAGACCTTAATAATAATAAGAAACAGTAGAATCACTATAAGGTCTTCCGTGAAGACGGAAGACCTTAATAATAACTTTTAAGTAAAAAAAAAAACTAAATTCTCTATATGAAACTTAGCTACTTATTAGCTCACCCGGGCCGAAGGCTCAATTGTGCTTTTCTGATCAAAAGTTTTCCGTTGTCTGTCGTCGTCTTCGTTGTCATTGGTTGTCATAAACTGTTCACATTTTCATCTTCTTCTCAAGTACTCCTGGACTAATTTCATCCAAACTTTCCTTAAAGTATACTTTTGTAAAGGGGATTCAAGTTTGTTCAAATTAAGGGCCAAACACTCTTCCAAGGGGGAATAATTATGAATTAGTGACAAATTAATTGTATTTTTAAAAAACTTCTCAAGAATCAGTTGGCCAGGAAAGATGAAGCTCATGTCGAAGCATCCTCATGTCAAGAAACACTGGGCCAGGAGAGATGAAACTCATGTTGTAGCATCCTTTGGTAGTAAAGATTTAAAATTTGTTCAAATCATGACCCCCTGAGATAGTGGGGCCATAATGGGGTTTCAAAGTTTAACATTAGAAAACATTGAAAAATTTCTGGGCCAGAAAAGATAAAACTCATGTAGATGCATTCTCTTGTAGTGTAGATTCAAGTTTGTGCACATTGAGCTGCAGAACTGTAGCTCTAGGGAAAAATATATTGAGAGACAGGAGAGCTGCAGTGCCACCCATTGAAAAAAAAAACTGTACATCTGTTGGGCACAAATAGTTGCACTTGGTTCTGGATTAATTCTATGAAATTCTTATCTCTACTGCAAATAAGCAAGATTTTAAACAAGCCCTCACTCCCCTATAAGTACCCTCCTTTTTGTAATCTTCACGAAGTGCTTTGGACCAGTTGGTTCAGTCTTTTTAATTATGTTTTTAGGAGTTTGTCTCCTATTTTTTATTTATCTGCCTATTTATATTATTACCATTTTTAATCCCATTGCTGAATAGCTGAATTTATCAATGAGTAAATATTTTCACATTTCCCTTGCATTTCATTGTTTACTTGAATTATTTTGTTATTTGTTGATTAATCAAATATCATTTATTAAATAAATTGAAGTCATCTATAATATCTGAATAGTTGTTGCTGTTAATTATTGCCTACGATCTAGTATCTCGTGATCATCCGGGATAATTTTAAGTTGACTATTACAGACCCCTGTAACAAAAATTTTGATTGCCTTGTTACTTGAGTTGAGTGTCTATGACCAGTAGATCTTGTGAAATACATACATGTAATAGGATTACTTTCCTCTTGATATGAAGAGCACAAAAAGTTGTCTCCTTTTCAAACCTGTCGTTTTGATCAATGTTTTTATCTGTCTTCTTACACTGATCATGCTGTATAAAGGGCAGATAACTCTAAAGAGTATGAATTCTTTAAAACTGCCCTTACACAATATTTTTGCTGATATTGTATGATATCGAGTTTCATTTTATTTTCTTGTAAATGTCCGCTCACTCAAAACTATCTTTGATCCATTTTCTTTCATTTCTATCTTCTAACAATCTGATTTTCACTTGAGAGATTTTTTTCTTTAATTATTAATTCAATTAACATCGATTGTTTAACAATGCATAACTCTTATTGAATTTTAATACATTAAACAGGTCGGCAGGGGATGCTCACTCCTCCATGGCACCTGATCCCACCTCTAATGTTTCGGAGGTCCGTGATTGCTCTGCTCCTATTTTGTATATTGTTTAATGGACTTTGAGATTGAATACTGTTCGTTTTCTGCATATCTTTCCATATATAATTTTTTATGTTAAAATTTTGATCATTGTGAATATTATCTTTTCTCACTCTTTTAAAAAAGGATAATATAGCGTATTTATATCTGAATTCATAATATAATGAGTGATTTAAATTTACTATGAATATAAAAATTTGTTTGTAAATGATGTAGTTTATATATCTGTATTTTTCATAAAATAAACCTGCAATAAATGACTAAAATGATGTGTGTTTTATTGTTATTATGGATAAACAAATTAGTGGCGGATCCAGAAATACTTAAAATGTGGTTTAGGTCGGGCCAAACAACCATACCAAGAAAAAAATATACACAAAAGGAGACCGAGCCCCCCTGCCCCCTCTAAATCCAAAGTGCAATGTATATAAACAAATGCGTCTTAAAGAGACTCATCCTTTCAAGTTTAAATGTTCATTTCATTGATCATGATGATTATTTTTTGTAATGGTTTTAATTGGAGCAAAAAATTAAATAAATAGATAAATAAATTACTAGTGTCTCTTGCTGTTGATAATCAAATGCTCAGGCAAAATTTTCTGGGTGCAGTTATTGAAAAAAATACGTCTAAAATAATTTTATAGAAAAATTTTCGTGTGAGTTACTGACAGTCATTAAATGATGCTTTCAAATTGAAAACAGAAATTAAACTTTTGATAGACCGTAGATGATGATTGAGCTGACACTTAATATACATTCCATCTAAAAACTGTTCTAATTATCATAAAATCTAAAATGTTTTCCAAATGATAAAATAAAAAAAGATAAATTTTAAGAACTAACTTTCATATTGTTTCAATTAAAAATATTGTTTGTGCCAGTATTTGTAGAAACATTTGTTCCCGCTTACTTCCTAAACCAATCCGGTCAAGTGCACAAGCTACAAAATTTTCATACTTAGAATGTAAAAGCAGTATGCGATACATATAAGTGGAATTTGTATAGTCATCCTGATATAAGTTGAAGTGGATGTGTAGAAAACCAAACTTTGATACTCATTTTGTCCTATTTAAGCAAGCAATATAACTAGATCACAAGAAGTTCCTTATTGTTCTATGTTTTGTTTTTCATTAGATCTGAATTATCCACTAAACAAAAAAAAACCATAAGTGTAGAGTATAATGGAGTAAGCTTATTAGAGAAAACATGCCTCTCCCTCTTTCAAGCATAGTATTCGATAAAACGCTCCAGGTTTTACTATGATATACAGTTTCGCTTCCTTGTGCACTTGGGCTTTATGTTATATATTGTAAATCACAGGCCTTTACATCGCTTTGAAAAAAAAATGTGGTGTCATTAAAAATATCATTTTTTACATATACAATTTTTCAAAGCGATCCAAAGGCCTTTTATGTAAACAATATTTCTGTTGGAAAATCTGTGACAGTGATAAAAAACTGAAATATTCTATCAAACTAAGAAGACTGTTTTGGCTGAATAATTTTTCTCATTATTTATTTTATTATTATTTTATTTTTGCATATATAGCGCTTTCTAAAATAAGACCCCCCCATCTTTCCCCTGAAAGTCGTGACACTTTGGTCCATTATTTCATCGCTTTTACCTTGTTTTTATCTTTTTTGTGTTACGTGTAGAGGTCTACACAGCTCTCCCTTGTGACAAATAAGCCCAACATCTCCCAACAATTTTTCAAAATTTAGAATCCTTTGTGTCAGGTACGAAATGATATGAAAATTAATGAAGAGTATATATTTTAAAAATTAGATGAAAAGACATCATTTTGATTGCGTAAGTTTATTTTAATTCCAGGAAGACTGAAGTTAATAAGTACTCCAGGTCCGTACCTATTGAAAATAAAGTGTTTAATGGAGTTAAATATTACATCAATACAGGGCTTCTAGACTTTTTTAAAATTGAGTGCAAAAAATTATGAAACAACACACGCATACACCTGTTTCGTTCCTGGTGAATGTAAATTGGAAGATATCCAATTCATTTTGAGCAATGGTTTCTTTTAGTATAATTCATGTAAAGACGTGGATGAATACTTATACTTGAACACATGCATACCCAATTCAAGTAAAATGATCTAATCTTTCAGGACTTCTAGCGATGGGCGAAGAAATGCGTAAAGTAAAGAAGAATGCAGTTTTTGAAAATGAAATGAAAATTTTGTTTATTTTTCTTCCTTTTAGACACATAATTAAAAAAAAATGTTTTTTAATGGAGATTTATATGCAAATATATTATATGCAGTCTATATGCAATTATCTATCGGTATCCATGATGAAAATAGATGATCTAATTCACAATTCTAAATACAAGCAGACAAAGAAATGCAAGATTTAAAAAAAAAAACAATAAATATAAAAAAGATTATTCTGTCGTCAATAAATTCAGATGTACACATCTGTGAATTGTTTCTTGTTTTAACATCTCACTACAAACGATCACTTGACATTTTCCTGCGATTCCTGTACAGGCGGCGCTTTTTGGGTGAAATCCACGAACGTGTACTCTGTCTTCTCTTCCTCCCCGTGTATGACTGGTCTCCCCTTTGTGTCTGAACTTGGGAGCTTTCTCGCAAATTCAACATCGATATAAACTAAACCATCTTGATTCTATGAAGCAAAAAAAGGACCATAATCTTAGTACTTTAACATGATGTTTAACTTGCCTATATTTTGATTACTTTAAATGGACCAGTTTATGATCACTTTACATAAACATGGACCATTTGATCATTTCGCAGGTGAAGTGCATACATGGATTATTTTAAATATTGAAAACCAAAACTTCTTATTTACTTCTTGCTATTCTTATCATACCGTTGAACGTGAGTTGTCGTTACGGGTAGATGTCCCAGCTTCTTCATTGTTTTCTTTCAACTCCTTTTCTTCATTCTTTTTCTTTTCTTTCTTTTCATCTGTTTGTTGTTTCTTAGGATGTTTTATCACTTCTGAATACACTGTTTCGTTGTCATCTAAACAAACAATGAGGTACGTATTGAGCCAGAAAAGCATTTCTTTATCTTATTAATCAATGACTAAAATATTTCATAGAACAAACACATGTATTTGTACATATACCAAAAAGGTATAGGAGACGAAAGATTAAGGAAGACATAATAATTGTGAATAATTTCAGAGTAATTAAAAAAAACAAAAACTCGAGACTCAGTGTAATAATTGGAGAGATAGATTGCAAGACTACCATTTTGATCCTTGATGACGTCACTCTTCACTACGTCATCTTGTTGTCTGTTCTTCATGAGGACACTCTTGTCAACAGCAGCATACACAACAACATCCGCTGGTGTATCATCCTGCACTGTGGCTGTAAAACATTATTTTTTTAACATAAAATATGCATCAAAATGGACAATTTGTTTTTGTTATCTGCAGCGTTTGTTACCAAACAATGAACACGCTCAGGAAAAAAAAAATGAAGAAAAAACCGTGCCCCTGGCACAAATATATCGACATTGAGATGGGTCACTGGTATAACCGTTATGTAACAACTTATCACATCCTAAAAGAATTGGCCTGAGAACTTTTCATTTATAAATTAAATATTTAAATTCCTTGTGAGACCGGTATTAATCTTATATGTTTAGACATAAGAATTTTTTTAAAGGGAACAATACGGAATATGTACCTAAAAGATTTAATAATTTAGCGAATAATATGCCATTTTGAAAGGTATCTGATCCCACCTCAGATGTTTCGGAGGTCCGTGTATGCTCTGCTCCTATTTTGTATTGTTAAGGTCTTCCGTTTCCAATGGAAGACCTTCTACTGATTCTGTTGGTAAAGATTATTATTCTTTTTTTTTTCTTCTACTTCCTAGACGCCAACTTTGAGGCCTCATATCTCACTCATTTCTTAATAGATTTTGCTCAAATTTTCAGACGTTATATATGGTAATAAACTCTATCAGAATGATGTCTAACATTTTAAAAATTTACTTCCGCTTATGAGTTATTTCCCTTTATAAGAAAAATTATAGGCTTTCGTTTCCGGATAAAGGCTCAGAGACCACAAAAGCTGGAGCAGAAATTTTACTGCTTTTAGATAACAGAAGGATTGAAGTTGTGCACATCGGTTTTTGTTTTTCAATTTCTGTATTAAAAATGGCGCTATATAGGGGTCAAAAATTAGAACGCCTAAAAGAGCGAAAATTTACACATATTTTCCTTTTTGTCTTGAAAACTAAAAATATTTTGTTAAAACATATTGAATAAAAGTTGTGCATTATTGCAAGAGCTTTCATTTGATATCATTAAAAAGGGGCTAGCCCCTAAAATTAGGGATCAAGTGCCCTTGAAAGTTTTTGCTATATATCTCAAAAACGATTAATATTTCGTATGACTTTTGATAATAAAGCTGTGCTTTAACATCTTACTGATCATGAAATTGTTATTTTGTTCTAGTCTTGTTTAAAATGAGCTATATGCATGACCTATATATGTACAGGTAATTCTTCTCGCTCAGCTCGTAAATGAGAGCTTCTAATGCGTGTATATAAAACAAACTTACTTTAAATAAAAATCATGGCTACATTGGATGCTAATATTCTTTAGAATAAAGTTCTTGAAGTGTTTTGTGCTTTTTTCCCAAATTGCCATGCTCATTTACTAAGCGCACGCCTTTACATTCACCTTGTTTGTTTACAATTATATAACGCGCCTCCCTCGATAACACGGGGCAAAGTCGGTCACCGGGAATCAATCGGCGGTTAATCAAGCGACCCACAGTTATACACAAATAAAAACACAGAATGGTTAAATTCATTTTTTTTTAAATATATTAAATTGTTCCTTAATACTATCTCTGTTCTATGAAAATATTATTTTGTTCAAATCTTACGTATTATAGGAAAGAAAGCTAGACAGTTCTCATCTTGCTATTGATGGAAAACTCTTTAGTAGAATTGCATTAAACTTGCCGTAAGTAAAAAATATTTTACAACGCTGTATCATATCTCTTTTTTAAATTAGGTTTTAATTAAACGTGTTCTTTGGTTCCCGTTCAAAGTATTCAATGGCATCATTTTCATTTTATTAATCAAGATCTTTCCAAGAGAAAGAGTTATAGAAAAAGCACGAGCTAGTATCTTTTCTTCGTTTAAATATGAACACAAACAATATGAACGAAAACGATAAACGCCCGGATCTCATAAAAAGAACTTTTAAAGAGTCAAATAATACAAAAATTATTGACCGCGCGATTCTCACATTCACCTGGAACACAGATTTTAAGCGTGTGTACCATTGCGTAATCTAACGATTACACGTGTCCAAGAAAATCTAAAGCGACACACCGCGGCAAACCATTGACCTCGTAGTCATAGACAAAATAATTGGTGTATTAAAACTATTTTACAATTAATGGAAAATTATTATTGTCGGATATTTGAGATTAATATGTTGGCTTATCTTTGTTTTAAATTTGATCGTGATACATGTTTATCTAAAACAGCTAACTAGGCTTTGTGTTTGTTTACGATTACGCGACCAATCATTCCTTCCATCGCTTGTTGACATTATTTTACAAAGCGTGGTCGAATGTTAAATCTAATTTTACAAACTTACGGAAAACATTATTTTCTGTAAGTAAATCGAATCTTTCAAAAATATTTTAAAATATCTTAGGTTAGACTTTAGAACAAAACGCTGGGGTATTTATTTTATATGTACATTAATCAATCTTCAATTTTTATAGTTCGTTAGTTAAAGGGGGAGGAAATAAGCACCTCCTTCAAATTTACCTGGTCATAGAACCTCTGTCAATCATTTGAAATTAAGCCTGGGATTGGATACTTTGATTTGATTGACATTTAGCTTGCTGCTGTTGTGTATATCTTGTGTACCTTGTCTGGAGATCGTACCGACCATCGAATTAATTTTCAGGCTTTTGATGCCTACCGCACTGTATGCCAACGTGATAAAGAAGCAATCAAATCGTTCTCTTTTTTAATTCATAAGAATATGCCATAAATATATCAATCTATTAATTATTAAATAAATGACAAGAAAATCATGGCTATATAATATATCATAAATTTAATTTTAAATAGGAGGATTTCATATCACGATTACTATTTTAATTTCAGTGTCAAAACATGAGTTAAAGTACATTGATTCCTCCATTAATTAACAAAATAAACCGACCTGCTTTTGAAGCTAGTGTCATGGAATTAAATAAAATTATTTTTTAAAACAAGAATGACAACACTGTAACATTGTTCATGAGTCAAGCGAATTTATATTTATAAGACAATCCTGTACGTGTCGCTTTTCTTCGAGACATGGTAACGAAGAAACCTGTTACGGTATAATAATAAGTTTAAGAAGAGAAATTTCTCGGAATATAACATCTTGCTTTGTATTTAATATTTGAAATTAATAATGAATCCCGAAAGAAGAAAAAAACGATGCAGATGATTCTTTTCCCGTTTCATAGCTGTCGGGGAATCAGCCCGGGCCATTTTTACCGACCATGCGTTATGGAAAAATCAAGTAGGGTTTATCTTAAAAAGATATTTATTTAGACAATAATATTTCTACTTCAACATTTTATTCTCAAAACATCATTTCTAAGTTTCATTGTTATTTACCGAGAGACTGTTTCTTCTTTCGTTTTGCGTAGACGACGTGTAATTTGAATTACTTCCCTTTTTGTCGCCAGATTACAATGACAGATTTTAGTGCTAACTGTATTTTCGTTATAACACTTTATTAAGAAACACACTGTATATAAAAAAATGTCGAATTATCAAAAATATCAATTATTTTAAAAGAAAGAAATCGAGAGAGGATTCTGTCTGCAACAAAAAAATGCTTTATTTCGCATTTCAATTCATGAGCTAAACATGAAAAAAAAAACGGCCTCGGTTTACAAAGTCGTAGGAAAACGCATACAGGTAATACACTCAGGGGCTCAGGTAACATCCTGTGTATATAGGTAGTATACACAAGCCAGCGTCGTTCCCTCGGGGCTTCTCAGTCGCTTCGATTAAGCTCCACCCCACCCAAATTTACCTGAGGAAAACCGTACGGTTGAAAACCTCGGCCTTTAAGGTATTCCGTTTCCAACGGAAGACCTTCTACTGATTCTGTTGGTAAAGATTATTAAGGTCTTCCGTTTCAACGGAAGACCTTCTAATCATTCTGTTGTTTCCTTTCAACTTTTCTTATTATTATTCTTACCAATTTTGTGCAGGCGATTTCTCGTAAATGCGCTGATGGATTTTCATGAAACTTTCAGCATTGATGACAAATTATATGAACTTAAGGCGTTTTTTTTTAATTTGATGACGTCACTTCCGGTTCGGATTTTTCTGCGATTTAGTGAGTTTTAGATGGTCATTTTGTCCGCCAGTTTTCTAAATAACGGCTCAAGATAGAAACATGAAACTTTCAGGTATGATAGACCAAGGTCTATAGATATGTATATGGTATTTCATTTTATCGGAAGTGCCGCACGTCGGCGCTTGCTATGGCCCGAAAATAGGCCTATCGCGAATTTGAAAATTTTTAACAACTTTTCTACAATATCTTTTTACCTGGAAATATTTTGTAAATACATGTAGAACAGAAGAAGTGTAGAATTTCAAGACCTTTCAAATGATATGTAGAAAAAAAGGGCTGGCCCCTAAAATAAAGGACCTAGAGGGGCCGAAAGTTTTTTTCTGAATATCTAAAAAAGTATTGAGAATTTGTAATATGTTAAAGAAGAAAAGTTGTTCAAAATGTCAAGCTCAATCTATTGGAGTCGACAAAATACGCCCGGCGTCGTCACTTCCGGTCAAACCGGAAGTAGTCGAAAACGCGTATTTTTGCCGTTCTTGACAAATTTTTCGGATAACATTTGTCTCTGGGAGCATAAAAATTAATTTTCCGTCCGTCGTCGTCACTTCCGGTAAAACCGGAAGTAGCAAAAATGGCTTATTTTTGCATTAATTAACATAGTTTTAGAGGATTCAAAGCATTTTTGGGCGTTATTTCTTATTTTTGTTAAAATGAAAGCTACTTCCGGTCAAACAGGACGGAAGACCTACTCGTTGCTTTGCAACGAGCTTTGCTCTAGTTTTATAAACTTTTGATATTCAATACTGATCGTTATTTCCATAGTTTTCATGATTAAGCACTTTGGATTTAAGTTTATTTCATTAACATGATTTACGTACGTATTCCATATTTGTTTACAAGCCCTTTGTTGTCTGCACCAAATCCGCAACGATTAAATGTAAAACCAAATACTGCATCTTCAGATTTTCATTATAACGTAAGATGGGTAATATTTTGGATATACTTGTAGATCTAAACTATATCAGCTTACATCCACTGAGTCCTTCCTGCCTGTTTCTTTTCTTCGTAGCTGACTTTTTAGTTGTTTTACAATACATCGTCACCGCCAATGTCAGAACCACAACGAGGAGAAAACCAGCCGCAGACGCTCCAACCAAAATCAGCATGGTATTATCTCCAAACAGAGAGGAGGACGAGATCGGCGGAGCTTTAAATATCATGATAGATTTTTTGGTCAAGAAATAGAGTTTATGGATTATTCTTAATATGCTAATAAAGATACACGTAGTTCAAGAAGTTTATTTAAGGAATGAAGCTTATTTCAACTTATGTTATACGATACATAATGTTTTATCGTATAACATAAGTTGAAATAAGCTTCATTCCTTATATAATTTAATTTTAGTGTAGACAACGAGACAATTATTCCTCCAGAAAAAGGCTTGAGATTTATAATATTTAAGCTTATTTTAAAAGTAACGTCAAGCGGAGTGGATTTTAGAGAGATGTGATAACAATCTCACAAAATGATATCTCCGTTCGTATATGCGTAGAATAACATTCGTTTTTTTTTGTTTTGGGAAAACCCAAATATGTGTTCTACCAAAACATAGAGTATGATGTGCACAATTGCAATTTGTATAAAAAAGAGAAAACTATCAATATTTTTTTAATTCAGTGATATAGGAATACAAATGTATATGTAGTTGTGAAAAAAAGAAATTGGATTAAATCTTTTACCCAATCAAATGACGTGTCACAACTTACAAGAAGATAACTTAATAGAATAAAAAGTTAGATACTTCACCTTTAACTATGACTTTAACTTCTCTCGGGCTCAAAGAACAATTAATTCTGTTACAACTCTCTAACTGGTACAAGTACTCAAGTCCTGGAGTTAAAGGTCCTAGGTCATGATATCTCAAGTTACCCTCACCAGAGTCTGTCAGATTTTCAATAGATGCCCAGCCAGATTCTTTCATCTGTGATAAGATGAAGAATTGTTCCGGTCCACCATTAAAATTTGATATCCAGGAAAGATTCACGTATCCTCGAGCGTCAGAGATCCAGGTAAAGTTTAAAGGTGGCTTTGGTGAATCTTGAAAAAATAATTTTTAAAAAAATTAATAAAGCTATCACAAAAAATTGGAATGTATAATCATTTATAATACTAAGTAATATGAAATTAAATATGAATTGATATCTCAGTTCGTATATGCGTAGAATAACATTCATTTTTTTTGTTTTGGGAAAGCCCAAATATGTGTTCTACCAAAACATATAGTATGACATGCACAATTGCAATTTATAAAAACAAAATGAAAACTATCAAAATTTTTTTATTCAGTGATATAGGAAAACATGTAGTTGTGGAAAAAAGATACTATCCCATATAAAAAAAAAGAATTGCAGCGTCCATGTTTTGGTTTAAGAAACCCTAAAGATGTGTCTCATCAAAAGTAATGAAATAGGATACACACAACATGGCCCTTAATAATTATATGAAAGTCTCATTAAAACCTATTCTGTGAAATTGGTGTGTTGCAGATTAGAGAAAGGCTACATCAAATATTTGTAACAGAGGAACGGGCTTTACAATCTCAGTATACTCCAACTTTTTAAAATTTGTGTCGCCTTTATTTTTCACCTCTTTTTAATCACGAAAAAATCTTAGCACTCACAATAACTGATTTGGATTTTTACATCATTAATTAATACAGATTTGTTATAGAGATATATATATTTGTATTTATTGTTTAATTCCAATACTAAAGATTCAAACAACAATGTTAACAATTCAATTTCAATCTCAACTCGTAAGTTGTCATGTGTTGTCTTACAAAATATGAAAAAATAAGGTAAATTTTGCTCTGGTTTTACAGACTTTATACAAAAATGCAGCCATTTACAAATTAAACAACAATAATAAAGCATCAAAGGCAAATATCAGATTATATTAAAACAGGGGGTTATCTATCTCTCCTATAGATATGAATGAACATTTTTTATTTCTCATTGATACTAAAGATTTACAGTTGTATTTGTTGAATTTATATTTAAAAAGCATCTTGTTCTATGATTGATTGTATATTGTTTAACGTCCCTCTCGAGAGTTTTTCACTCATATGGAGACGTCACCGTATGCTGGTGAAGGGCTTCAAATTTATACCTATACTCGGCACTCAGGGCCATTGAGAGGTGAGGGTTCTTTATCGTGCAAGCGCCTACCGTGACGCGAGACCTTCCCTTTTTAAGGTCATATCCGTCATATCCGTGACTTTCACTTCTAGTGCCGAGCGCTTTGCGAAGGAACAGTCGCTAACTATGTTTGCGTCTTAGATATGACGCGGCACCGCGAAGGAGAATCGAACATGGGCCTCCCTATCACGAAGCGAACTCTACCACTAGGCTACAGTGAATGGTCTTGTTGTATGAAATGTACATTAAAGATGTTTTTGACAAAATGCCAATTGCATGCTTTTCTCTTTTGTTAACTTCAACATTTGTTGTAATTTGCCAATCAGATGAAATAAGTGATGCATTGTGAAAGTTCTGCTATTTTTTATTTTGAGTTTTCTTCCCTCAATGTTGTTTTGACTAAATTAAAAAAATCGATTTTGCTAGTATTTGACAAAATATTGCAAAGTTGTCAGATAACTATGCAACATATTAAAGATATCCATTGAAAGTGTTGATTTTGTAGTTTTTATAAAATATTAGTAACAAATGCCCAATTTTAAATATGGTCTCGGCACAAATGTTGTAAATGTGTGATTTTAGCCATTACAATATCTTGATATAGTTATATAGCTTTATTTACTATGGGCTATCAAAACAACAACAAAAGTTAATGATAGCTGTAATATACTTTAAGCAAAATAAAAATTTCTATTGGCAGAGTAATTGTCCACTATCCTGTGAGGCATGGATAAGTATGACTGCTTCTCATTGTACTGAATTATTACCAATTCATTATCTTGTTCACCATGATTGGTGTCCTTTAGAATTTCATTGCAGAAGTAACTGTATCAATTGCTATATATAGCCCATAAACTTATAGATCTTTGAGTACAAAATCTCTGAAGGAGACGTAATTTGATGAGTGATTTTTACATGCATTTATTTTTAGAAGAGTTCAAGGTTGAATATCATTACTGCACCAAGGTGCGACTTTTTGTACATGCAGAGAATGTTACACATTTAAGGAAAAAAATGTGATAAAATAGCTAAATGAAGCTATTCTGAATAGCTTGATAAAGCTATATAACTTAAGTAAGTGACATGTACAAATTAGTACAAAATATTGGTAACAAATGTTTTAATGTGGTTACCATGGTGACTTCCAGAAAAAAAAATATGTCATATATAAAAGTTTTTCAGTGGACTTTTATGAGAAACACTTTTTACACTTGACTGTTTACTTGAACATTTAAACATTCACATCTACGGAGGTACAGAATTGACAATGGAAAAGAAAACCTTTCTTGTGGTCATGGCAATGGTGATAGGGCATATGTTTGTGAAGGCCTTGATTTGAGGGTAGCATAGTTGTCATTTTCTTCAAGGACAACTTATCTGTGCTTTGAAATAGCCTGTTTTTCGTTGAATTAAATGTTGAGCTAAATTATCATATCCTAAAAGAGCTTCCGAAGACTGTCCTAGTGTGAGAGTAATTCGTCAACCGTAAAAGTCAGCGCTTCTCGTAAGAGTCCCCTAGGAAGATAGTATATGCCAAGCTTGAAGAGAATCTGAGACTGTGAGTGCCAAACTCTTCAGAATTACTTTGGTGATCACTGAGAAATGCTCTAAAACGTATCGAATTTAAATAAAAAACAGTTTTTTGTGTCGACCGCAGAGCAGTGCTGAACTTATGGATCACTTTACCCGACATCTCACTCTCACTTTCTCTCTCTCTCTCTCTCTCTCTCTCTCTCTCTCTCTCTCTCTCTCTCTCTCTTCGTCCGTCTGTCTGTCTTTTGCGCCTTATGTCCTGACATCTTAGACGTATGGGTTTGATATTTTGCATATGTAAAGCTTGGTACTATGACGTTTGTGCATGACCATGTCTCGGACCTAGTTGTCTTTGAACTTATTTAAAATTTTGAAAATTATTTAAAATATAAGAAATTTCACCGTCGGGTATCTTGTCCAAATGCTTTTAAAGGTACCCCGATATTTTTCGAGGAAGTTTGTTTAAGGTGGAATGCCACACCAACTTTGTTTTTTATAGATCTTTAAGTTATCCTTAAAACAATAGTTTCAGTGGCTCTTAATTATTTTATATTAATCTTTTGGTATTTTTTCAAAGAAAATGAAAAAAAATATATTTTCTATATTCAAATTATCATATAAATATCTTATAAAGTATATAAAGAAAGGCTGATTAGACTATATTTTTTTTTTATAATAACAAATATATAAAATAAAGATTATGAATAAAACACATTTTTGTGAATATTTTTTAAACATATGGTTAAAACACCTTAAAACTAGTCATAACTGAGGAAAACATGTTTGTCAATCATATTGTAAAAAGAAATTAAATTAAGATTGAGACAATTTAGAGAAACTATTTTATATATATATATATATATTTGGACCCAACTCGATCAAAATTAAACTGATGACGATCAAAATTAACACATATTGTATTTACAATGAAGAAATCTATTTGATTGTCAAGTTCAAAGTGTTTTAACCCTTATTACACATAATCAGACTAGTGTTCTTTAGGGAAATGTTTTTTATTTCCAATAATTGTTCAATTATGGTTTGGATCGGTTTAATTTTGATTGGGATTGGCCAAAATTATATAATAATATCTCTGAAATTTGGCTATTTCTTTTCAATTTCTTTTATAAATTTGATTTACGAACATGTTCTCCCAAGTTGTAACTAGTTACCCTGATTGGGTTTAAGCTTTGTCTAATGCGAAGCAAAACCCAAGTATAACGTTCTCATATAGTTTAACTCGTACAGAAGAAGAAGATTTGATTGTAATATTATATCGTAGTCTTACTATCCGACTGTTGAGATTTTTTTCACGAGCTATTTATATTGGTAGCAAATAAATGGCAGACCACTATTAATGTATTTATTCAAACAAAAAGCAGGCAATCTATGGGTTTCTTTAAATACTCTACTTTAAATAGATGCTTGATGTGCTTGAGCAAATCACATGCAAAAATATAGTGTAATGAAATATGTAAGGAACGACTTTACTTTACCGGTCCCCAGAAAAACGCGCTAAAATGTAGTGTCGCAGAAGGCGACTTCCGTATATATGAGATCGCGTGAGCGATCGAAAAAAAAATTAAATACGAGTTTTTTTGGCCTTTTGACCAAAAAATTTAATTCTACGGTTAAAAGTTCAGTTTAAAACTTCGTTTTTAAACGTAGTTTTTAACCTCAATCTCTGAAATAAATAAATAAATAAATAAATATTGTTTATTCATGGAAAAACCACAAAGAATAATTCTGAACGAAGCGCGTGCAGCGAATGCATAGTGTCATTTCTTTCGCACCTAGCCATTTTTCCGTGTAAACAAACGAACGAAATGTCTTTAAAGTTGAATTATATGATCTTGGAAAAATTACTGAAACAACTGAATTTCTAATCTTATGTAAAGAACGAGTTACTAACCCTAATTCATCGATGGTGTGCAAGGACTAAGACGTTCAGACGAAATCTCCCGGGCAGATGCTAAACTAACCCTAATCAGTCGAATAATGTGCGAGGACTAACCCTAATCTCTCGGATGGACGTAAGACTAACCCTAATCAGTCGAATACTAGTGCAAGGACTAACCCTTATCTCTCAGGTGGGTGCAAGACTAACCCTAATCAGTCGAATAGTGTGCAAATTTAACCAATTTCAGTTGAGTGACGTAAATGTTACGTCATAGTCCAATGAGCGCGAGGATCTTGCGGATCTGGGGACCGGTAAAGTAAAGTCTACATTACATATTGATAAGTAATAATTTGGTACACTGCAAACCATATTATGTGGAATACTATAATTTACAAATCTGTAATTAAGTTAAAGGAAGACTGAAAGCCTAAGGAATCTATGTAAAGCGGGAAAGCATACTTTCATGTATAAATGTATGAAAATTATATATACCTTCGGGGTTGATAGTTATATTGACGATGGACTGTTCATTATAAATCAATGAGTAATTTCCAAAAGAATTCTGATCAGCGACAGGAATGGTACTGTTGATCCAGTATTTGTAGACAACATTATCTCTTTGTAATACTGTGTTTCTTATATTCAAATAATTGCCACCAGGTCCCTGCCACGATATTCTTGAATAAACTGAGGATGGAAAAGGATTTGCAAGCACAGGCACTGTCACAACAACTTTGACATTTGGTCCGCTCTTTGACCCATAGGTGGTCTTGAAAGACACACTGAGTGACGTATCAAGTCGAGGCTCACCTAAAATAACATTATGCTACAATAACAATATTGTTATATACAGTGATTGAATAGGTAAATCATCAACAAATATGGAATAATACGCGGACATGTTCATGGATATTGAAAATGTGTGTTTACATATTTAAAATATTGAATTATTTGGAGTTTATGTCTCCTATTTTTTCCACGAAGTGATGTCTGAATCTTAAAAGTAATTTACAACTTTTTGCTGGGCCGCATCAATTCTGAAAGAATGTAATTTTAAACTATTTTCATCAACTTTTGAAGCCTTAAGTCCCATTTTAAAATTCTGGATATTAAATTATCAGGATCAATTGAAAAGGATTTCCATTCAGTTCCATACCTAGTCGATTCACAAAAGCATGTATTTAACCAAGCTTATCACAAACAAATCAACGATACAAGGTTGTCAACAATTCAAAAAGTAAAATAAAAAGTTTGCAAACTCTTTGGTCGATACAACGACTTTTTTAAATCAAATACAGTATTTTGTTAAGTTGATGATTAACTGACATTTTCAAACAAATGTCAAATTTAACAGTTTAACATTGAATTGTCTTCTGGAGATTTTATTTTGGTCGTTCTAACAAGGAGCACAACGGTTGTGTGACCGTTAAACAGAGGATGTTCTCTCTTCATTGACACCTGCAGGCCTTACTTGCGATTTTAAGGGATTGGATATGTTCTTCTTATTGTTAATTTTGTTCTAATGTTGTTTTTACATGAAATTTACCATTCATTATCTACATACTTTATATTTATTCAGACGGGGGACGGAAAAATAGATTAGAACATAAAAAAAAACTTGATGCTGGAAATGTATTATCATGAGCGTGTAAAATATTTTGAGGACAATTTAGCATATATTTGATTAAACGTTGTAATCTAGTGTTCTTATTTATGTGTTTGTGTCCAAATACACTTAGTGTTGTACTTAAATTTGCAGAATCTGATTCCTACCAAAGCTCTTTCAAGAATGCAGAGCCAAATATAATACGTCTACCGTATTCGATTCTGTGCAGTAATGATGATCACATGAAAATAAATAGCACGTCCTTTATTGTTTTACCTTTTTGCACTAAAAAGTAACATACATGTATTTAGGGTATCAAAAATCTTAATAGGCAATAAAATAAATGGAGTACATTTAATATTGACTTCTTTGACATATCTTCATTTATTGTCAAAGTTTGTTGAGGGAAGGTGTAAAATTTGTTTTAAAAATTTTAAAAGTTTAAAAACTTTATTAAATATTCGTAGCATTCGTAGTATTTCATACAAGATACTACTCTCCGAGTAAAAATTTGAAGATTTTTGAGCAGTTTTTTCATTGAATGTTGAATAATTTACACTGTTGACTTTTAATATATTATGAAATTTGAATTAAAATGAATAGTTTTGAAGTAAGAGGTTCTGCTTGAATTTTTTTAATAAGCTGACATGTGATATACCTGAAGATAAATATCCTTCAAAATCTCTAATACTTACACGTCACATTTACAGTCAATTCCTCATGTTTACTTTCAAATGATGTGTTTCCTGTACATCTGTAGGTGCCGGTGTCAGAACATTGAGCTTTTGCTATAGTGTAGTTCAGCCAGTACTTTTCTTGTTGTTCATTGATATGCCCTTTCAAGACTCTGCTGAGCTTTATTGTAGGGGTGGGATTGCCTTCCACAAAACACGAAATATTGAGAGTATGGCCTTCTGTGATGCTTGACAGAGTCTGGTTACTATTATTAAGAAAGATCACCGGTTTCGATAAATCTGCAATAAAATAGTATTCTGCAAAGTGATAAAAAGCTTTCGATAAAAGGTCGACTTGTTTAAAAAATGTTGCTTGTATAATTGTTTTTTTTTTTATTTTATACGATATACCGTATAACGGGTATTTTCTGCGGTTGGATTTTTTTGCGATTTAACCCCTAAAAGGTAGCAAAGTAATACGCAGTACAGTTAAGGTGCGCAATGGAAACATCGACTAAATTTTGTATTTAAAAATGTATTCGTAATCGGGATGGCGATAATTTTTAGTACATAATTTATATCGGATAATTGTTTTTATGATTAATAACTACATATCGAGGGCGATTATATTTTATATTTAGACTAGTCACGTGATGCGGCAGTCACGCGATTTTCGCACATTGACTTGAAGAATTGATGTTACATATAAATATCACAAGTGCAAGGGCATAACCAAGTTAAATTTCCAAGTTTAGTATATAAATATTTTCAACACTCATTGTAGTTTCTAAAGAGTACTGCGATCCTGTCTAAATTCTGCAATTTCACTGTTAAAATTATACTTGCATGACCGAATGCTATATTTTTTGCTGGTCAGCGGCATGAAATATTGATATAATTCAATTGTTTTTAAGATTTCATCAGGATCGCAGCACTTTTCAGATACCTTAATAGTTCTATAGTTGAAATGTAAAAGCTTACTTTGATCCATAGAGTGTATGCCCTTGCACTAGATCGATTTATTAAGACCCCCCACATTACCCACCGATGTACTTGCATACAAATATACGGCAGTGTCAATTAAATACGTAATGTACAAAAAATATGTTAATAGAATAGTGAAGAACACATTAAATTCAAGTTATTGGCCCATAGAATATCTTTGAATAATATTTTATTTAATTAGAGAACATATATTTTGTTGAGAAAATATTACTTGATCTGTCTTTCACTGCATACAAACTACGTCACGTTGTAAGAAATGACGTCATATTGACAAGTGTATTGCGATCAGTGAATTGTTTATAACTTGTTATGTGGAATTTAACTAACGACAAAACAACACGCTGGAGAAAGTTTTTATGTAGTTTGATGATTTCTTACTGGTTAAATTAGCAGATAAACTCATTTTATGGTATTTCAAAGAAATGTTGTATGACGTATATTGTGTATGATGTCATAGTCAAGTTTTCCCGTACAAATTAGGCTCCGCCTCCTTTTTGTAACCTTAACTGTGCTGCGTATCTGCGTTTTCAATTTCTGCGGTTGCACTTTACCGCAAAAAATTATTTACTCTAAGATTTATTTGAACACTGCAATTACTACGTTTTGTCAATTCATTCAGGCACATGAATGAAACATGCTTGAGAACAGGCATTGCGCTATTAAACTACTAGCTTTTAGTCACCCTTTGTAAAATTATGCATAGTCCTGGAATTAATTATTGTAGTAACAGACCTTGTTCACTCAAACAATAATTTATAATCTTTATTCTAAGATCGCAGTCGTTCATTAATATGATCTATCAAAATAATTTTAATAAGTATATAGATAATGATAATAAATACCTCCAAGCCATAATCTAAAATAAACTTAAAATTAATTGCCATCAAAATTAAATTGAGAGTTTCATTTTAAACTTAAACAAACAGTTTCATGATCAACCACCCTAAAAATCACACTTGTCATGCGCATTAGTTACACCTCGTAACTAATATTGTCAGACGTCTGATTTGAATGAAATTTACGAGACAATCAAACCATGTTATAAACACAAGAAGTAATAACGGTTTCAAGACAAAACACAAAATTGAAAAGTGGAAAATAAGAAAGAAAGAAAAGCTGTCATATTTTGTTTGCAGCTATCGGAGTTTCTATGTCACCCGAATTTTCTCGCAAACGAAGACAGGTCTATGCGTGAGTCTGCAGACACACCACTTATCATACTTGCATGTATAAAATACCTTAAGTCATATTAAAAATATTTTGCGATTTTAATTTTTGCGAATTTGTCCTACCCGCAGAATTCCGCAAAAATTGGACAACCGCAGAAAATACCTGTTATACGGTATAGATAACCTTCATAAAATATTTTTATTTTAATTAAACATTACATTTCTTCGAAGTCGTTTGACGCCGGCCGTGTCGACAAATTGAATGGTATGATAATTTGTGGGAACGACCGTGTCCTGTGGTAGGGCCACAGCTACCGGGTACATTCAAGAAAGAGATCCAATGCTTAGTTTTGTCAAATTTTCTTTCTGATAATTTATAATTTCATTAATTTTAGTTGTGAATTAATTGCCTTAAAAGAAAAATATATGTAAACATATAAATCTTGTATTAACAATAATTTAATAGGGTACATTGTACTTGTTGTTTATTTGCATTGAGCTAAAATAAAGAAATGAATATGATTTCTATGATGTATTTACATTCTAAGTAACATTAAGGTTTAGTGTGTGTTATAGGGATGTAAACGAGGTAGATTTCCAATGGATTTTATAACAAACAAGCTAATTCAGAGAATTCGTGTCCCCCGCTTAGGGAAAAAGTCGGCTCCCCCTGACTGAATTTGTAGAATTATTAAATGTATACATGTATACTGAAGCAAATAAAATACATGTATGTCAATATGCATATAAAGATTTGATTGCTTATTCTTTATTATGTGTATAGAAGATTTTTTATATGGAATTTTTATCACACTGTAATGATGATTTTATAACTTCATAATTTTTTTATTTCACATGCTGAATACTATCATTTAGTAAAAAAAAAAAAAGTATTTAAAAAAAAGAAAGGTTCGACAGAGATTCGATCCCGGACCCTCTCACACTTGAAGCGAGAGACATAACCACTAGACCACGGAATCGCTTTACGTGGTATGAAGTATATGCAGAAGTGAAGTCACATACATTTATAATATATTCATGTTTTCATGTTCGGTATTCTCAAAATTTTACACAATCCATGGTGTTTGATTTATTTAGCCTTTATTAAACAGTTCTAATAGATGTAATAAGACATAAAGTCCGCCGAGAACCTGTTTTATACGCAATAACTCTCCTCATGCCCCTGCGCTAAAAATAGCGACATGTAATACTATAAATACTAAAAAAACAAACGGGGCGGGGCACTTTGAGAGGGGCGAGAGACATCCTAGGGAGTTTTGATATAAAATTACAGTGCATAAGCTCAAAATCTTCTTGAAATATCGCCCGGAAATAATAGTATTACACACAGAGAGAAAGTATAAATTGACGACCTTGAACTTTGACCTTTTGACCTCAAAATCAATAGGGGTCTTCATTAGGCCACAGGGAGTTGTTATATAAAATTTCATTGCAATAGCTCAAATGGTTCTAGAGATATCGTGTGGAAACGAAAGTGTTTTAACAGACAGAATTTGCTTATTTATGACCTTGACCTTTGACCTTTTGACCTCAAAATCAATAGGGGTCTTCTTTAGTCCACAGGGAGTTGCTATGCTAAATTTCATTGCAAAAGCTCAAAGGGTTCTCGAGATATCGTGTGGAAACGAAAGCGTTACAGACAGACAGAAAGACGGACGGACGGACGGACAAACCCAAAAAATTAATATCCCCCACTTTTCAAGCGGGGGACAAAAAAAGGAAATGAATCTTTGAAAGTTTATTTGCAAAAATCTTAACTTTGGTTGGAGAAATATAGTTGTAGATTATATAAACATAACTCACTAATAAACATAAATTAATAAAAATAAAAGTTTAGATTTTTTTTAGATCATAGATTCACCCATAATTAAAATAGGGTATTTCATGATTAGAAGTGAAGTAAAAATAATTTTATGGTTGAGATTTTCACCAATAAAGTTTTTTATGAGCCCAGATCGATAGATACGATATATTGGTTTTGCCCTGTCTGTTTGCTTGTCTGTTGTCAACTTTAACCTTCCCAAACACTTTTGAACCATGAGAGATAAAGACTTAACATTTGTTATGCATACTACACAAATAAAGTTCTTTCAAATGACAACAAATTAAAGTCAATGACTGTGACCCATATGAAAAAAAAAATTAGCTTTTTCTAACATTGTTGCCGCAGGACGCATAGTGATTCACAAACACATCTTGTTTTATTTATGAATATCCCAAGATAATTATTTTTTGAAAGAAGTCATCAAAATAATTACTAAAACTAATTATTATTCGCAACATCTTTTATTTGCGATTCTTCAGTATAGAATCCATCCTGAGCGTCGACGTCCTTATTTTTAGAATATATAATGTAGAATAAAATCATTTTAGTTAATTGACGCATTTAATTACCAGTATTTCTCTAATGACCTTTCATTTGTTCAAATCTTCATCAGTTAGCTACATTCTCTTCTGCTCAACTGATTTATGAGGTCTTTATTAAATTGTCAACGAATTCTAGACCTAACTATTTTTCCTTAATTGCACAAATCAGAGTTCTTTGAACCGCGTCAATGACATTATTTGACCAATGGTTTAGGAAAAATACCCTTTTTGCCGGAATATGGCATTGTATTCTTAACTCTTTCTTTAGAGTCACTTTTTTTCTTTACCCCTTCCTTTTGGACAACTCTTGGGATTAATATTTTGGACATTTTTTTTCGGGGTTTTAGTCCTACGCTTTTATACATGTATATTTGAGACAGATCTAACAAACTTTTGCATACGAGGGTTGCACGGTAATGTTGTGGACAAAGCGTTTTTCTCGAAAAGTAAGGGGCACACTTAGCTGAAATTTTCGACAAATGTTTGTTTATCATATTTAAAGACATTATAATATTTTGGATAAAATATAGACAAAATAAAGATTTTATTATGCTTGAATATGCACAGGGTAAGTCCCTACCGCGCACAGTAAAAAAACCAAGGCTATAATTGAGAATACACAAGTATTAATTCGAAATAAAGGTTTACAATACATTATTTGGGTGGGATTAAAATTATTCTATTTCGATTCCACAACCAATTTTGTTGTCTTTTTAAAAATGTCAAGGATTCGGTTAATTTTTGGCAGTTTGCCGAGCATTCGAAATGTAAAAATGGTAAACACAACGCACAAAAAATGGCGTAGTGTGATGACGTTTCGGCGTACCGGAGAGCGGTTACGTTTGATTCAGATGTTGTATTGACACCTTAAAAGACTTTATATGAATACAGAAAAAAAGAAATATATGAAAATATTACCAGATCTTCAGTATACAAATGAAATGGGAGTTTTCTTAGCGAAGTCTTTTTGATCGGGTTCCCTGGTAGTACAAAACATACGGACAAACTGCCATGGTAATAACAAAAGACGTTATCACTGTCGACCGTCGATATAAGATGCTCTGTTAGTTGACTGATGGTGAACATATTGTCCGTAATTTACTAATAAATCTTCAAAAGATCGCATCGTTCTTCAGCTGTATAAAGACTCAAGTCTTTGAATCGAATGGACTTCTTTATGTTAGTGGGACCTATCTAATTTTATTTTTAGCAAAGATGAAACATGGCACTTTGACGTTATCATCCGTGCGCAGTAGGTCGATACAATACATAACATAAAACTAAATTGTTTATTAATGCATATATCTATTTGAAATTTCCCATGTGTATTCATTATATGTTAACCAAGGAGTAGTGAAAATTTCAGATTGTTGATTACTTTTTCACAATAGACAACTTAACCACAATTTTACCAGACAACCCTCGTAAAATGTGAATTGGTTTATTTCGATCGTATTTTTGAAATTGTCAATATAAAATCTATATAATCACGGTGAATTTGAATTAAAAAAAACTTTAAAACAAATGAAAGAAATAAGAAATAACTCTTTCATTCAATCCCCCATTTGCGAATCTCTGATTTCAGATTAGAAAAAGAAACTATGAGTTCTAAAATAGAAATGGAAAAAGAAACTATGAGTTCTAAGGATATCTTACTTTGCAGATTGACTCAAATATTTTTTTCGCATAACCTTCTAAACCAACAATTCTTGTGATTCTTGCGAATTGTGTGCAAAATTCTTTCTCTCGGTAACAATGAAGTTTAAAAAAAATAATTTACTCACCTTGATTCCATGGATATTGTGGATGAATAGTAGACTGATTTTTTTTGTTAAAATATGAACTTTTCGATAATACAACTTGCTCTAAACATTCCAATATTTTGCAGTTTAAAGAGGCTGATATTATTTTTATCACTGAATAAGTATTTGCACTCACCTAAACGATTGTACCCTTAACATATTAAAATGCACTTACAGAGAATGTTTAACTTAATGCCATCAATTTTGCGTCCTTCACTGTTGTTAGCTACACATCGAATCAGAGTCATTTTAGTTCTGTCTGCGTTTAGATCTGGTAAAGGTAATGGTGAATTCCCATAGGGTGTAACATTTTTCATATCTCCTTCCGGACGTTTATATTTCCACTGTACGGTACAAGGCGGATTACAGTCAGCTGAGCAGTTGTACGGACCTAGTGGAGCACCAACTCTAATTGTTATTATGTCTTGGAGCGATTTTGATGATATCCTGACACTTCTTGGGCCGTCTGTGAAAAGAGGAATGCATATAATAATAAAAAACTTACGTTGTATTTCCGAAAATATTTGCTGATAAATGACCATTTCAGTGAGTTTATGACTTGGTACCGCAAGTGAGCAGCAGAAGCTAGCCCATACAAATATAATATGACACAAAGTAAGAGACTGTAAATATTTCATCAAGTACATGTATTACCAGAAAAAAATAAATGGAAAACAACGCAATATTTGGCATACAACTGTATTTATCAGTACAGTTTTATATAACTAGTATTTATAAACTTGCATGTAGATAAACTAGCAATTAAATATACCTATCATATATAACTTTAAAAAGGTCTAATCAAACTTGATTCAGACACTTCAGATTAGCATTGTAATAAAAAAAATGAATATGATAATCGCATCCCATACGAAAAAAAAAAACAAAGTAAATTAAAACGGTTATTCCCGCGGATTGAACTTTTCAAGATAAGAAACGTATGCCAACAGAAACAACTACGGATAGAAAGAAATACTCATCAGTTATCGTTATATCCTGCAAGATGTGACTGGGCTGTAAATTGAATTCCATATATATTTACTTTAGAAAGTATTACTCATATAAACCCTTTCCACTGTACCTTAATCTAACAAGCTAATTCAAAGAATTCGTGTCCTCCACTTAGAGGAAGAAATCGGACCCCCCTGACTGAATTTGTAGAATTATTAAATGTATACATGTATATTAAAACAAATGAAATTCATGTAAGTCAATATGGATATAAAGATTTGATTGCTTATTCTTTATTATGTGTTGATAAGATTCTTTTTATATGGAATATTTATCACACTGTAATGATGATTTTATAACCTCATAATTTTTTCATTTCACATGCTGAATACTATCATTTAGTAAAAAAAAAAGAAGAAAAGTGAAAAAAAGGATCGTCCGAGATTCGATGCCGGGACCTCTCACATGTGAAGGGAGGGACATACCACTAGACCGCGGAATCGCTTTACGTGGAGTCAAGTATATGCAAAAGTGAACTCACATACATGTAAATATTCATGTTCGGTATTGTCAAAAGAACGAGAGCGCTTTTGATTGGCATTCGGCAGGAATCTGGGCGTAATTGAAAAGTGATATTTTATCGACAAGTCACATGAAATTTTTATAATTTTTATTTATTTATCGGGTTCCTGTGCAACAGGAAAGGAAAATATTATCCCGAAATTGAGCTTTGATTTGCTAAAAAATAACTTGAAAATTGGCCAGACCATACATTTTGTACAAAATGGTACATTTTTAAACACGTTTTTCTAAAATTTTTCTTTCTCTGGGTCTTCTCTCCATGATTTTGAAACGTTATTTGTGTGTATTTTAATTCATAGAAACGAATACACTTTTTTAAAAATATGGAGAAAAGACCCAGAGACCACGAAAAACGAACTTTTCCCAAAAAATCCAAATGTGTGAATGTGGTGCTTCATTGTCCTTTTAAAATCAATCATGTATGTGTAGCGGTGAGAGCTCAGTAAGTTGGGCTACCTATTCAGTTTTTGGATTCGAAAAGTTTTTGGTTCGAGCCTGGCATGGGGCGTTAATTATTTTTTTCGTGCAAATAACCATTTATTTTGTCAGTTTCGTTTTATGTACTGATATATTAAAATTTTGAATAAGATTAATTTTGGTTCAGTTTGGTTCTCGAGTGAAATCAATTCCAATCCTCTATTTTATATAATGTACATGTACAAGTATTATGCATCTATATGCATTAAATATTTTAGCCGTTAATTTTTTGTGAAACATAACGATATGTTATAGGAACAACGGAAAAAAATGTTGCAATCTCAAACTTTCAAACTTATTGAAAAAAATTTGTAAACTCTGACAAGCTATGTTCAGCCAACCAAATCATGGATATTTAAACCATAAATGTTTCGTACAAATGATTCCTGCAGATCACACGCCAAATGCGCCCATCTTCTTTTATACAATCCATGGTGTTTCATTTATTTAATAGCCTTTATCAAACAGCTCTAATAGATGTAATAAGAACATTATGTGCGCCGAGAACCTATTTTATACGCAATTACTCTCCTCATGCGACTGTGCTAAAAAAAGCGACATGTAATACTATAATTACTAATAAAACAAGCTAATTCAGAAAATTTGTGTCCTCCGCTCAAAATCTTCTTAAAATATAATGATACTGTTGCAAACAGAGAGAATGTATAAATTAACGACCTTAAACTTTGACCTTTTGACCTCAAAATCAATAGGGATCTTCATTAGTCAACAGGGAGTTGTTATGTAAAATTTCATTGCAATAGCTGAAAGGGTCCTGGAGATATCGTGTGGAAACGAAAGTGTTATAACAGACAGAATTTGCTTATTTATGACCTTGACCTTGGACCCTTTGACCTTAAAATCAATAGGGGTCTTCTTTCGTCCATACGGAGTTGCTATTAAATTTCATTGCAAAAGCTCAAAGAGCTCTCAAGATATCGTGTGGAAACGGAAGCGTCACAGACAGACAGAAAGACGGACGGACAACCCAAATAATATCCCCCACTTTTCAAGCGGGGGATAAATATCTGACGTTTTACTATAAAAGTACAGAAGAAGATTTAGCAATATACCCACACAAAATGTTTATTTTAATTTCGTCACTTCTTTCTGATTCAAGAGTTTCCTTCGCCTGGCAACTGTACCCTTTGTAGCTGTCATTTCTGTAGACCTTAAATTTGTAGTTTACACTTTGTTCTCCGCTTATTCTGGTGCCATTAACAAACCAAGTATACGATAATGCTGGGAACTTATGATAGTCGGGGGCAGATGTAGATTTACTTTCACATTTCAGGGTGGCATTTCTTCCCTCTTTAATTTCCAGGTCTCCCGTTATTTTAGGTTTCTCTGGTTTTCCTGAATAAATTATCATTAAAATGTTAATGTTGAAGGAAATGAGAGGTGGATTATTGCTGTTTACAAACCTTTGTACAATTCGTGAATTCTTTTCTCATAACTTCAGTTTTTAAACTTATATTTTTAATTTTATTTATCAGATGATCGTTTATGAAGGATTTACCAGAAACAACGAGAACAACCCCCTTCGCTGATAAGAAGGCCTTTGACTCACTTCCACTTCCTACGTAATATCCTGCATCTTCTACTGATATATTTCTAACTTCAAATAAAACATTGGCAGATCCGGGTTTTGCATGGTATAAATATTTCATTTTAAAGTCTGTTTTATATGTTGTGTTAGTTACTGTCATTATTATTTGCGGTCTTCCAATATATGCATGAAATATTTTGTAATCTCCACTTCTTGGAAAATATTCAGCAGTCCATGAGATGTTTTTAGATTTTCCCTCCGTAGATTGTACTGTATTGACTGATAATAGAGACAAAAAATACAAAATTCTGCAGGTACTTTAAAATATTTGAACAAAGTATGTAATTGAATATCTATGTAGAATAAAATGATTTTTGGCATTATACTCCTTACCATATAAATTAAGAGACAATGTTAGCGTTATATAAAATAATCTTCCATAAATTCTTAATACTTGCTTTAAATACTGACATAAATCATTCAACACTGCATTGATAACGGATCAATTTTCAAATCAGAATGAAAGAACTATATGCAGTATATTGCATATATTTGCCCCCACAAAAGTAAGATTTTAAGAACTTCCTGAAATGTGCTGAATTCAATAAATTGTATGAGAAATATAAATTAACAGAAAATATTATAGTGTCAAAGCAGTGTATTCACAATTTTTGTTTTTATGATGTCACAAACTAGTCCGATTTTATATCCTTTTTCAGAAAAAGGACAAAATGGACAAAATTTCAACAATTTTAGCTTAAAAATTTATAGAGCGCAAGTTTGTTCAGGAACAATATTGACATATTTCATTGATATTATCATTCTACACATAATATCAAAATATTGATCCTGAACACACATGCGCTCGGTGACGTTTACTCACAATATCGACGAATTATGTACATTTTTTCTGTAAAATTCATAAAAAACTGAAATTTACGTCATGTTTGTGACGTCATTACGCACATATGGCGTCATTACTTATGAAAATATCCAGTGCTTTGAAGTCAGCATAAACTCCCCTGTTTAAGAGCTTAATTAAATATATCTCCATCCAAGTTTGATTTGGGGGGCAAATATTGGTTATTACCGAATAAAGTTTGTTTGTCATACATAGGGTCTTACACAAGTTCTATAACTTTTTGTGACGTCACAATGTAAAAATAACGTCAATATGACGATTACTTGCGACAAAATATGGTTGACGCAGTCGTATTCGAGCAACGAACAGCTGTCAAGTTAACCGTATATCTTGGAAATTCCTTTGCAGAAGCATATAATAATTTATACACGGTTTTATGAAGACAAAAAAACTGCAGAAGTTTTTTTTATTAATTGGATTGATTGTATTAGTGAAGAAAAGGAGCTATTTAAAAATGACGTTCGTTCTATTGCCTATTTGAAACTTGGGAAGAGGTGAGTGTTTTGTTTAGCAATTTGATATGAAAGATCGCCGTCAATTAGAAAAAAAAGTTGAATGACTTATTAAATCCCTAATATATCGTACACTTTAGACTAAAACATATCAGATATGATAAAAAGAAGGCACCTATACGTTATCAACAACGTTGCAATATTTTCATTGTGTTTGGTAAAATGGGCAGGTGAGGTAGGTAGAGTTGGGTTTAGTATTAGTCTTTACACACTTGACCCTTTTTTAATAAGTTTATCATAATGTCATCAACCCTGTAAATAAAGTATACAATAGATAGTTTTCGATAGGCCTAAATTTAGCGAAAGTTACCTCCCGTTGGTCACCATATAGGTCGACTCAGTGATTATCCCTCTTTGTCTTACCAAGTTTAAGACGTTGTAGCAGATATATTTGGTTGAAAATCTTTAATAAATAATTTTTTTAAATAAAAAATGCTTTCAAAAATTTATATATTTCAGAAAAATAATGATTTCTAATTCAAAATAGCAAATACAAAAATTTTTAAATTGGTTGAAAAATGAAGGAATATGAGCATTTGGACCTCCAGTACGGCGGCCAACGGGAAATAACTCCTGGTGTATCGAAAACTATCTATACAAAACTAAATACTAGTATACTCCTAATACAAAGGTTGTCCCAAAAATAAATTGAAGTATATCTTGCCGATCAAAAATCCACTAATTATTCAAATTTCCTTCTAATATATCTAACACTCTTTCTTGCATTGTAATGACCAATTTTCGAAAGATTTAATTATTGGGGAAGTTTCTAGTATGCCGGTCCCCAGAATCACGCGATTGCGCATTAGCAGTTATTTCCCTTGCTGTTGCTATGCAGAATGTAAACAAACCGCAATTCCTCACTCGCTTCACCAAAACGCATCCGATCGAGTGATTAGGGTTAGGTTATATAGTTTTTAAAATTGGTGTTGTTTTATAAATCCACTCTGTAATCTTTCTGACTTTGGGCTAATTTATGTAATTTTTGCTTACAAAAGACACTACTGTGAGTGCCTTTTGTGTAAAAAATTGAAAACCTGCATGAATCAGCCTGTCGAATCGTGCCGATATCTTACACTTTAGTTTAGGCCTAGTTCATGAAATTTTTGCTTTACAAAAAACAGGAAAGTTTAATTAATGAAAGTTGGGGTAAATCAACTCTAATATCGAAACATGACGATTTTCAGCGCTGAGTTTAGGCAAGTTATTGTAAAAGCGACTTACCGTTAACTGCAGCTCGATATCATGACCTCCTACAATAATGTTCAAATATTCAGAATATTTTCCCTTTGAAATCGATGATGATGCACAATTCAATCCATCGATAACTAGTATAATTAGCTAACATTTGTTAAATTCCTGTATATCTCACAAAAATCTCGCAATTTTTATAGCATTGCACTTTGAGTCCTGTCAGGCATTTCTTCATTACGCCAAAACACAAGTGACGCATCTCATGAATATTTATGAGATTAAGTCAAAAATTGATCATGTGACCACATTCCTAAACAATGGAAAATGGAGTTTTACTTCCTTAACAAGTACGTTATTTTACGAAATCTTTTAATTCTCATTTTAAAAAAACTGAGTTTAAAAACCAGTTTTTTTAACCCAAATTTTCATAAGGAACACGAATTTGGGGTCAAATTTGCAATTTGTGGCTTCTTTTTTCGATTTTGTCGATCGCTCACGCGATCGTCTATATATTGTACACCATCTCCGGCGGCACCTATTTTAGCGCCATATTTATGGGTACCGGTATACTAGAAGTGTTCCAATTATTGCAAATTTATTCTCTCTATTACTAAAATCTAAGTCTAGAATTTTAGGTTTTATACATATTTCTTTCAAAGTGCGTTAAATGTCCCCATGGTAAAAATGTTTATGTACACTTTTAACGCACTTTGAAATTTTTCTTCAAAGTGCGTTGAGTGTGTCCAGAATTTTACGCACTTAGAATTTTTTTTCAAAGTGCGTTGATTTTGTCCCAATTTTAACTCACTTTGAAAAAAAAATACAGTGCATATTTTTTTTCAAAGTGCGTTGCCACAAAGCACTTAGTCTCCATTTTATCTTTACATTTGAAATGGTAAAGAGGGTGATTGTTTATTTGTAGTTGATGTAGAGACTGGACCATTTTATGCATAAAATGAACCTAGCGCACTAAACTTTAGATGTCAATTTTATGTAGATAGCATCTTAAGGTAGATTGCGGGTTTACTGTTGTCCTCATAGGATATAACGTAGAAATCTTACCGCGTTTGCAATAGCAAACTACAAACAAGTAAAAGATCCCTCATCAAAGTAAAACTATTGCAGCATTATTGCTGCGATATTGCGGCAACATTTCAGCAACACATTTTTGTTACCAGAAACAAGCGTTTTGGGTTAGTAAAATATCACCGCTACAGTCTCTGAAACGTTCTACTTTCCCATTTTCCCGTTCGCTCAGCGTTCGTTCAGCGTGCGTTCACCGTTCGCTCTTCGTCCACAGTATTGCGTTCAATGTTCACCGTGCGCTCGCGTTCATCGTTCACAAAACGTTCACCGTTCGCTCTTCGTTCCGTTTACTTTGCGTTCACCTTGCGTTCACCGTTCACTTATCGTTCAGTCTTCATTGTCATTCGGAACTCCGAAGTGAAAGGACTTATCTTTTTGATGGTATGGATTTACATGTTGTTTTTTTTTTATTAAATAACTTAGATATCATGTTTGAAGAATAATTATTTCATTGCAAAAATTATCTATGATATTTATAATTCTACTATTATAACTCAGCTGTTACTTATTTCATAAAATTTCCCTGGGAAATAATACTTTGAGTACCTACATGTATGTAGAACGATGCTAAAATATTAACTTTAAAAAAGGGCAATGTACAAATGCGCACGGCATCAATTTGTTGTAATTTCAAAGAGGACAAATTATTAATTGATGTATAATAATTAATCCAAGTCTTTTACAGGACAATAATACATAAAAGAAATTATTTCTACAGTAACACGTATTTTAGCTACATGTAGGTTTGAGAATTATGAACAGTACTGCAAATATTCAGTTAATCAAATATCTTAAGAGCTAATTTAATTGATGTTGTGGTTTTAAATTTTAGAAAAGACCAAACTTTTTTAAATAGTCTATTATTAGAGAACTAAAACCTCACAGTACCTAAACATATGTTAAGATAATGTTTGCCATTCAGTATAATTAAGAACCCCCCACCCCCACCCCGGTGCCTCTTCTCCCGAAATAAAATTCTTATTGAGTTTTTTCAGGATATTTTAATCAATATTTAATTTGTATTGTAACACAAGAAAATCAGATTTAAAACCAACATCAAACAGTCATTAAACAATAGTATTTTAGAATAAACTTGTGCCGACAGTAGTATTTTAAACTGGCAGGGAATATGTTTCAAATTCAATTTAAAACTTAATCCAATTATTTTTTCTACATGAATGTCAAAATCAAATCTAGAAATGATAGGGAAAAATATTAAAACTTCTTGGAATACCAAGTGGCTCCTTGCCTTTGACATGTTCGATGAAACGCAATTTCCACACCTCCACTGTGTCGAATTATTTTGATTTTCATTTCTCTGTTCAATAAAAACTATGACATCAAATTTCTTATTTAGTTTTGAAAATTTAATCTATTACAAATAATTTGAATGCCTCTTTCCAACATCTTGACCGAGTATAATCACGGCCGGGAAATGTCTACAGATACATGAAGAAGTTAGCTAAAATAATCGTCATAAAAGAATACAAAAGGCACATAAATCTAGAATATTTTGCATTAGAATTGAAATAAAACGAGAGTCTTATGCAGTACAATAACAGTCA